AGAGGCTAAGAAGAATTTTGATTCTGAACTTGAAGGTGAAGTGAGGGAAGGGACCCCTGAACCAAGAGGACGATGCCAGAAGCCCTAGCTTCACATCTTGGCTTTGACCTCTTTTCTGCCTTGCCTTAAATTTGAGTGGAACTGGGAGTCCCAGGGCCTAGATTCCCTTGGCTTCTCCCTGACCCAGCTGCAAACAGCCCCATTTGCTGCCAAGTGGAACAAGACCCTGAGAAATTGTGTCAATCCCAGCCCAGACGGGGTCGCCTCTTGACCTTCCTCCAGCATCTGGAGCTGCCTGCTAGCCTCCCCCTCTCCCCGTGAGGGCCAGACCAACATCATACATAAATTACCCCAAGTGCGTAGCCTGGTTTCCTGTACAGCTTCCCCGAGTCTCTCTTCCCTAAACTTCAAGGCTCCTCAGGCTGACCATTCTCAGACATTTCAGGCTGGCTGGAAGGTGGTGATATGGGCAGGGTATCCCTGGCTACGCCTCGATGCAGATTCCTCTGGGCAGCTCAGCCAGCAACCTGGGTTTTTGTACTGTTCCTCACTCTTACCCCATAAGCCAAGGGAAATGTTGGCCAGCCCTGAAGGGGCTCTAGCTCAGGGAGCAAGCTGGGGAGCAGCAGGAAGGAAATGTTTCCAGTCCTGGGCTGCTGGCCCCTGTTTAGCCTTATCTGCTAGCCTGTCTCCCAAGTCTGCTCCCAGACATCCAGGCACATTGGACCTTTAGCAGCCCACCCTGCCCTCGGGGCAGACTCAAGTTGCCCTGGCACTGGACTCTGGGAAGTTTGGGGTGGGTTTTAGCATCAGCCACCCTGCCATCACCTGCTTCCCTCCACAGCTGCTGGAGTATGTGGGAAAGGGCAAGAGCATCATTGATGTAGGGCTGGCCCAAGCCCGCCACCCACTCAGCACTAGAAGTCACTACTTTGAGGTGGAGATTGTAGACCCTGGGGAAAAGTGCTACATTGCCTTGGGGCTGGCAAGAAAGGTGAGGGGGAGACCTGCAGTGGAGAGGGAGGGTCAGGGTGGGTCTGGCTGCCCCTGTGGCTATGGGAGGGAAGGATGTGGGGGGGGGGATGCAGAGCCAGAGCTATAAACTGGATTTACCAGAGAAGATGGAAGAGCTTACATTTATACACGTGTGCACGTGCATACACATACCTGTGTATGCTTACATGTACAGAGTCACAGAAACTTGGCACCCATAGATTACCATCTCTATGGCTCTGGTCCTTTGGCATTTGAGCACCCTGTCATTTCCTGCCCGGGGGAAGTTTTGGCTGGGAGGTGATTGTCCATTGGCATTTTTTACAAGGTTCAGAAGAAGTGGGTGGGGAAAGCTTGGGGAGGGCTTTTCCCCTTTCCCAGTACCCCAGACCTCTCTCTTCCTGCCTTGGCCAGGATTATCCCAAGAATAGGCATCCTGGCTGGAGTAGAGGTTCCGTGGCATATCATGCAGGTAATTGGAGGGTCCTTGGGTTGGGGGTGAGGGCATTTTCTTCCTTCCCTTGGTCTACCTTGGAGGAAGCCGGGTGGTTGGGAATGATGTAGGGACATGATATCAGAGGGAAACCCCTGCCCCACCTTTGTGCTTTCTCCTGTTCCCTCCCCTCTGCCTTAAGTGTTCTGCCTTATTTCTTTTCCTACTCCTTTGAGCACTTGGGTGTTTTTCCTCCCAACCCTGGGAGCAAGACGGCTGGGGGGGTGGGGGAACCTGGGGCCAAGCTCTGGAACATTCCAGGGCTCTGAGTTGGCTTTCTCCCCACCCCACCCCTGCAGACTCCTCCTTTTTTTTCTTGTGTTTTGTTCCCTTTGAGCACTTTTTTAAAAAATTATTTTTTCTTTTTAAAGTTTTCTTTTTTGGTATTACAAACCTGACAAACATCAACTTTTCCTTATACTAGAGTACAGAAAATGAGGATTTTATGTGACCCCATGAATCCTGGACTTTTTCTTTTTTTTTTTTTTTCTTTTGGCTAGGCAGTGGGGGAAGTGACTTGCCCAGGGTCACACAGCTAGTATATGTTATGTGTCTGAGGCTGGATTTGAACTCAGGTCCTCCTGAATCCAGGGCCAGTGCTCTATCCACTGCGCCAACTAGCTGCCCCTGGACTTTTTCTTAAAGTACATGTTACATTTCACGTGATGGTCCCAGCACTGCCTTGCTTGTCTGGGTACACCGCTGCGCCTCCCTCTCCCTGCTGTGTGGGGAGCTGCATTCCCCCTGCCTGTCCTCTCTTCACTGCTTGCTTTGGGGCATCTATCCCTCATGTCATTTCTCTGGGAGTCTTGATCTTCCAGTCACTCAGATGACCAGTCTGGTGTAGATCTGAAAGCTGGAAATTCTGGATTTCAGGTCCCTTATTTGGCCACTGACAAGCTGTGTGACTGTGAGCAAATGACTTTTAATTTCTCTGAACCCATGTCCTCATTGATAAAATGAGGACCATAAAGCTTGCATGCCTCACAGGATCCTCACAGGATTTTTGTAAAGTTTAAATGAAATAATGTATATGTAATATCTTCATAAACTCTTTAAAGTAACAGCCAAGCCTTTGGCCTGCCTTCCCACAAATGAGTGTTTTTCTCCCTCCCTCCACTGTCTCTCCCCAGATGACGGGAAGATCTTCCATGGCAGTGGTGTAGGGGACCCATTTGGGCCACGCTGTTATAAAGGAGACATCATGGGCTGTGGGATCATGTTTCCCCGAGATTACATTCTGGATAGTGAGGGTGAGTAGGCAAGGGGGAGGGAAGACTGCAGACTGGCCTGGTGGTAGGAGCACAGCTCACACTCCTTCCTCTCTTAGGAGATAGTGATGACAGTTGTGACACGGTGATCCTGTCTCCCACTCCTCGAGCTGTCCGAAATGTAATGTACCTACATCAGGAGGGGGAGGAAGAGGAGGAAGAGGAGGAGGAGGAAGAAGAAGAAGAAGATGGGGAAGAGATGGAGCAAGAGCATGAGGGCAAAAAGGTGGTGGTAAGTGTGGGGAGTTGAGATCTTGAGGGAGGCGATGGGAGGGACTCTGGGGGACAGAGACGAAGAGATGTTAGGAAGCTGGCTGTGGCAGGAGAGGGTCGAAGGCATCTGCCCTTCCTTTGGGGGTTGGAGGGAGCAGCAGAAGAGTGGCCCCAGCGCGCCCTCTTGTGGCCACTCCGTGGTCCTGGCCCCTTGTGCTTGTTAGAACAACGCTGTGGGAGTGGAAAGGCTCACTCTTATGCATCTTGGCGCCCTTAGCCTTGGCAGAGAAAGCTTCAGACACCACCTGCTTCATGTTCCCACAGGTGTTCTTCACCCGAAATGGCAAAATCATTGGCAAGAAGGATGCTCTTGTGCCCCCTGGAGGCTTCTTCCCCACCATTGGCATGCTGAGTAGTGGGGAAAAGGTCAAAGTGGACCTGCACCCTCTGAGCGGCTAGGACTTCTTTGGCCACTCCCTCTTCTTCCTCCTTCCCAGGACTGTACACTCAGTTCATGGCCTCTCTTTCCTGCCTCCTTCCTTCCCCTGGCCCCTGCCCTCTTCTTCCGGGGTTCGAGGAGGGCTTCATTCTGTTTCTTGCCCTGGCTTGGCTGAGCACCAGGCCAAATGCCTGCTGGGCCAGGCAGTTCTCCAGTGTCTGCCTCTCTGGTCCCGGTGTCACCTTCATCATCATTCCTTAGGGCCAAGGCCCCAACATGACAGGGATGTACCAACAGGACCATGGTGCCCTTGGTTTTTTGCCAGTGACTCTAAGGCCCTCTCCCCTTCCCAGGCCTCTGGGTCAAAGAAGGATGAGTCTCAGTTGTTGACTGAATAGGGCCAGGTTTGTGTTCTTCCCTTGACCCCAAGCTGGACACTGCTCAGAGCATCTGGAAGTCTTTGAAATGCCAGCTTTGCCTGAGCCTGGGGCAGTTCTCAGAGGTGGGACTGGAGGACAAGACCACCCCAGTTGGTCTTTCCCAAGGATCTCTCTGCTTCCTTCCATCTCTTTGTCTACTGAATGTCTGTGATATTTGCTGCTTTGGTCTGTCCCTCCTCCCACCCCTGCTGGCAGGGCTTGGGGTGAGGCTTTTTGCTTGTACTGACTGTTGCCCCAAGCAGTCTAGGGACAGTCTCCCGTTCCTTCTTCCGAGGTCTGGAAGACACCCTCATGCTATACCATTGACCCGTGGAGAAACTCCTACATTTCTCCAGCCCCATCAAATAGCTTGGTGCCAAGTGTGTGGGGAAGATGCGGCTCCTTTAGCTCGTTCCGGAGATTCCCTCACTTCCCTGATGCCGCCCCTCCTTGGCTTTCCCAGCCCAGTCTGCCCCCAGAACAGGTGGGGGAGTGCAGTGACCCCAGAGCCCTGTGACTGGACTTCCTGCGGTGGGGCTGCTCTCGGCCCTCCCTCCCTCCCTTCCCCTGTGTTGCCCTCCCGCTCTTCCTCTTTGGGGAATGAGATGTCTGCTTGCTGCTTGCGTCAGTGTTTGGTTCCAGCTCTTATGCTCTCTCCCCTACTCCCACTGTGGGCTCTCACATTCTCCATTCCCCTCTCCGTGACAGGGGACAGGAGCTCCTTGCCCTGGTTGGCACAGAAGGAATGGGGCCTCTAGGGGAAAGGAGGGGCTGAGCTGCTGTGCTGCTGGGGGACCTAGACCTCTGGCCTCTCCCCACCCCCACCTTCCCTGCACTATGATGTATGAAATGTATGTACAGACCAGAGATGTTTATACAGCCAATAAAGATGGAGTTTCCATATTTATCAGTATGGCTGAGATGCCTGCATCCTTGGCGGGAGAAGTTGGCATTGCAGGGACCTAAGAGCTCTCGATAATTGAGGGTAGCACTGGGGACACGGGGAATACAGTTGTGCATGGGGAGATACATGGATGCAATCATGGGGAAACAGGAGGGCCATGCATGATCCTACAGCCAGGCAGGGAGAGTGAAGGTGAAGGAGACACACAGAAGCAAGTGATCATTCACACTAGGGCCTCCTACACCTCCAGGACACCACCAACTCTGACTAAAGCTCATAGAAATTCTTTATTAGACAAAAATAGACTCTTTTTCTTTTTTTTTTCTTCATATAATCCCATCCTGCTCTCTCTCTCTCTCTGTTTAGTGGGAGGAAGCAGGAGGAGGGGCACAGTCCTCCCCCCTTCCCTCTCTCCCTTTGACTCCGCTCTGGCCTGCAGCTGGGGGGGAGCTGGCAGTGCTGCAGCCCCTCCCAGACCTGGGTCCTCTCGGGCAGGGCCATCCCGGACCCCTCTGTGGCCTACCTTCTGACACCACCCCTGCTGCACCCGAGCTATCCCCTTCCCCTCTGCTCACCTACAGTTGCCATCTCCTATGCTCATCTGGTCTGTGTGGCAGGCTGGGGGTGGCGGTGGGGGTAGGGAGTGGGGAGTGTCACAGGAAGCCCCTTGCTTGTGCTTGGGGGCAAGGGCTGCTTTTTCCTTAATCCATGTGAGGGGAAAGGTCAGTGGGGGGGGCTGGGAGAGGAAGGGCACAGTTAATATGGGTGTGGTCGCCTTCACCCCCTCTTCACTTTCTCTGACCCAGCAGAACTTTGGTGATGAAAGTGACAATGGCAACAGCTGGCTGGTCGGGATCAAGCTCCGAAAAGAGATGACATACGTTTTCCCAGGGGCTGCCCGGCTTCCTGGCCACAAAACCAAAGATCCTAGGGAATCAGTGGGCAGAGGGTGAGGGTAGAGAAGAAAAGAATCCTGGAAACACATTAGGCTTTAGGGTGAAGCCGTCTCTGGAGGGTTCCCAGCTGATGGGGGTGGATACCTGGCTGGGTAGGGAGCAACACTGGGAGTGCCTGGGCCCTGGGTGGGGGAAAGGGGTTCCCAGGGGAGGAGTGGACTTACTTAGTGGTGGTTCCATCAGTGTTGGTCCATCTGTAGTGGAAGAGTAACTCGTATAAGGGCCCAGAGGTAATTCTGTGTTTGGGGAAGTTATGAGGGATTGGGGGTACAAGCATTGGCCATGGGGTCGAGGGACTTTACCTTCTGTCCTGTGGGTCTATGCTACAGAAGGTGATGCTGTTCACTGGGTAATGTCGCCTGAAGAAGAGCCTAGAAATGGAATTGGGGATGACATCAGACTCAAGAGGGGCCTTGAGGCCATAATGAATCAGGCTTTGGGGGTCAGGGTGAAATAAATCAGGAGTTTGGGCTCATAAAAACTTACTTCCGTTGGTTATCCGTCAGGGTGATGCCTTGGGCTGAGACCTTGAAGTGGACGGTGACTGGAGTTGGGGTTGGGGCTGCAGCTCAGAGCAGCGGAACTGGCCCGGGCCACAGCCTGGGGGCCGGTCAGGGACTCTGTCTCCACGGAGGTCAGATACAATACACTGCAGGCTGGTGGTGGCGTCAGGGTGAGTGAGGGGAGACAGCTGAGATCAGCAGACTGCTAGAGGCCCTCAAGCCAACCTCAGCCTCTTCCTACAGGAGCAGGCTGCTTCCTTGCGTCTTCAGGCACCACCCTCAGTGGCCCCAGGGACAAGAAGCCTCCAGGATGGAGTCAGTATCAGTGGGACTTGTTTTCTCTACTTCCCCCCTCCCCTCCTCCAGTGCCCTGCAAAGTCTGGGGAAAGGGGAAGTTCTGTACCTGCTCCCTGCCGCAGGAGGTCTGATGCTGTGCTCATGTTGGTGTGCACTGAAACCTCAGGGGTCTTGTCCAGGGGATCTGGGATGGAGGGAGGGGCAGGGAGTAAAGAATGTAGTCAAAGGAGACGGGGGGAGGCTCTCCCCAGAATCATGGCCTCTTAGGAGTCAAGATATTTCAAGCCAGGTTGGTTTAGGCTTGCTAGTGGCTGGAAGGCTCATTGGGAGCGAGGTGAGGGGAGTGCATGATACCCACCTTTACTGGGGATTCGGAGGCAGCAGGGAAGGGAGATGGGGGCAATAGAATGTTGGGAGACCAGAGCCGACAGGCTGCCTATAGATTGGAGAAGGTGATTAGGATACTGGTTTCTCCTCTTCCCCTCCTCACCTGCCATATTCCCCCAACATTTCCCACTGTACCATCCCTAAACCAATTCCTGCCCCCCCCCCCACTTTCCCAGTGATCTCAAAACCATCTCCCCAGGAGCAGCTAGGTGGTGCAGTGGATAGAGCACTGGCCCAGGAGTCAGGAGGACCTGAGTTCAAATCCAGCCTCAGAAACATAAGACTCACTAGCTGTGTGACTCTGTGTGACTCAACCCCAATTGCCTCACCAAAAGAGGAAAAAACCCCATCTCCCTAGGCTTCTCACCAAAGTGGGGTTCACTGGGGCATCCCTTGATTTTCACCCCTTTGGGTCCTGTCTCGATGAGGAAATGACGGACCAGCTGTTCCAAGGGGTCACCTAAGAAAGTGAAGGCAGGAAGGGGTTGGCTTTCTATTCAACAGTTCCCTGCTTCTTGTCCTTTCGGTTTCCCTTATAGAAAAAGGTAGTTTTCTCCTCTCCTTGGCCCTTTTCAGCTCTCTTGCCCTTGGTGTATCCACCATATGGCATGCTTTTTTTGTGTTCCTCAAATCCCCAGCTCACCTTTCCAGGCCTGGGCGCTGGGTGGAGGTGTAGCCACTTTGAGTGCCAGCCCATATGCCCCTTGGAAGGAATGACTGTCTCGTATCAGAAATGCACCAGGCTCCTTGTCCTTCAGCAGGGAGATGGCTGGGAGGTAGGAAGAATAATGAACAATTGAGCCTCCTGCCTACCTTCTCCTCCCCCACAAAAATCCTCATTGTGGAGTGAGCTCCCCAATCTTCCCCCTGACCCAAGAACAATTAGAAAGAGTGGCAAGGGATGGAGAGAGAAGGGCAAGGGGGATGGTGTGGGGTTGGGTTTGGAGGAGCATTGAGGCAAAGACCCTGGGTACAAGGATCTTGAGAAAGAGACTGTCTTCTTACCTTGGTCTCTTGACAGGTGTGGTTTATACCAGAACTTGGATGTGTCCTGTACAAACTTGACATTGCTCTGGCTCTCTTGGGAAGGGGGCTCTAGGAGCACAGTGGGACAGTGGCTCTGGTACCTATCTCCCACTTGAAACCTACCCCCTAACTCTAGCCACCTCTACAACCATCCCGAGAGAGAAAGGGTTTGTTAGAGGCAACTAGGTGGTACAGTGGATAGAGCTCTGGCCTTGGAGTCAAGAGGACCTGAGTTCAAATCCAACCTCAGACACTTAACAAAGACACTAGCTGTGTGACCCTGGACAAGTCACTTAATCCCAATTGCCTCACCAAAAAACCCAAAACAAAACAAAACAACAAAAACTAGCAAAAAAAAAAAAAAGAAGAGTTCAAACCTGGCCTCACATACTTCCCAGCTGTGTGACCTTGGGCAAGTCAAAATTATCTTCCAAGGTCCAATTAACCAACAAACATTAAGTGCCTACTGCATGCCAAGCATTGTACTAGGCAAAACAATCCCTCCTCTTGAGTTCATGTTCCAGGTTCCTCCCATTCCTATCCCCGGTCCTCGGTGGATACCTGCAGAACCGGGGGCATCATCCGGAAGCAGGGGAGCAAAGGTGACGCGATGACTGTTCCCTCTGCCTGGCGGAGATGTGCGCTCCCCACCCCACACTCGGCCCTCCTGCTGCCCAGCTGCTGGGGGGTGCCGTTTCTCAGGTGACGGGGGCTGGGCAGCACCACTGGAATCATAGGAGGCGGCCAGAGGAAAGGCAGGTGTGGGTGAGCTTTGTGGGGGCTCGGGGGCAGGCACAGGTGTGAGGGGCGATCCATCCGGACTGTCCGAGGGACCACGAGGACCCTGCCAGGTGGCATGATGGAGGCCAGGCAGCGTGGTAGGCACTGGGGCCCGGGGATTGGCACTGCCAGAGTACACGCCCGGGCTCCTCTCCTGAGGCCAGTCCCTGGGGGAGCTGGAAGGAGAGGCCGAATGGAAAGGGCCAGAGGGCGGGGGATCAGTCCCGCTCGTTGAAGGCAGATCTGGAGTCTTTTCAATGCTCCCCTGGGGAGCAGAGAGAGCTACTTCTGGATTCAGTCTCAAGGCAGGTACCAGACTAGGGGATCGACTTTCTCGATTCTGAGGGCTGTGAAGAAACGGAAGGAGGGGCAAAATCAATGTGGTCAACCTAAGTGTCTCATCACCTTTTCCTAGAACCTATATGAGAGGTGGAGCTCAGAAAATGCTAACCTATTGGCCTGGCCCTTCCCAGTACTTCTCAAGGCCAGCATCCTCCCACCACCTCGGTACCTTTCCTTGCCCTGGACTGGGCTGCTGGTATGAAGAGGAGTGGGGGAGCCAGACAGATCCGATGGGGCACTCTCTATACCCTGCGCATTTAGGGTTGGCCGGGGAATGGGAATATGCCCACTGGGGCCCTCCTGCCATAAGCCTGGTTCTGGTGAATCTGTAGAAAGGAGGATACAAGTGAAACAAAGTAAAGATTGGGACAAAAAAACTTCACCTTCCACTGGGGATGAGATCCATGTTTAGCTTCCCAGGCTTCTTATTGACCCTTCTCCATCCCATTTATCACAGGCCCCCCCATGGTCTTCCCAAGTCTCTCCCGGGACCCTCCTCTTTGCCCGCTAGCATACCTTCCCCACTTCCAATCAGGATGCTACTCACCTGTAGGTGCCAAGCTGCCTGTCTGAGCCAGGTGCCCCGGCAATGGGTACCCATCCCCTCCCTCCTCAGGAGGTATCTCGTAACTCAGCTTGCTGGATGGTGGGTAGGAGGGGTTTCCTGGCAAGATGGAGCCAGGACAGGGAGAGTGGACTCCAGGGCTGGGATACCCTCTGCTCTCACTGGGTGACACATAACCCCGGGCTGACCGCCCATACGCGGGGCAGTACCCGGGCATCGCTCCCCCACTGCTGTATGCCACCAGGGTAGGGTACCCTGGGTGCCCGTACCTTCCTTCAGGGCAGAGAGCATAGGGGTACCCCTCGTGACCATCCTCTCCGGCCTTAGGCTGCTTCAGACAATTGTAGTCAGGCACTGTAGCATGGTGGTGTCCATAAGTAGGCATTAGCAGTGGTACTGGGTGCCTGGTCCGTAGAGGGTGTAGTAAGGGCTTCCCTGGCTCTCCCGTCCACCCCTCACCTGCCTCCCTCTCCAGTCGTAGGCCATAGAGGGCAGCTGTGGGCAGTGCCAGTTTCTCTTCACAGGCTGGGCATGGGCACAAAGTGGGCAGACCCCCATCCTCCAAGATCACTACATCTCGGTAGCCAGGAAGACGGTAGCTAAATTCCCCATTGGCCTGTTTGCCCAGCTTTGGTGGGTAAGGATATGGTCCCTCAGATAGGGATCGGCAGAGCTGTCTTTTCTCCAGGGGGACCTCCCCATAGCCCTGAGGGAGGGCCTCATAACCCCCATAGGCCAGCCGCCTTCTTTCCAAGGTCCCCTCTGGCCTGTAGTAGCCACCTCCATTGGGAGCCCCACAGGGCTCTCTATAGCCATGGCGACAGGAACAGTGTCGGCTCAGGACGGGCCTCTGGCTCTGGTAGACTCCAAGCGGGGCACCACTCCCAGGGAGCAGCTGGTCCTCTTCATCCAAAATGGCAGTCTCCCGGCCCACTCCCTGGCCCACCCCACCTATTCCACAGCCTCCCAGAAGTCGCTCCAGCTCCTGACGCTCTGCAGGAGTAGGAGGAGGTCGAGTGGGGGAGTCAGCTGGGGGCTCTGCAGTCAAGGTGGAAGAATGGCCTGAGTCACTGCTGACAGAGAGGAGTGGAGGTGGGGGGTGTTCTGGGGAGGGCCTTGGCGGGGAAGGCCGGGGGGCCCGCCGTACCTGGGCATAAGGGCTGCCATCCAGAGGTCCCCGCGTATGGGGTGGGGAACCTGCAGGGGGAAAAAGAACTGGGCAGAGCTGGAGCAAAAGGGGGGCACTCACAAAATGCAGAATGAGATATTTTGGGGATACAGGCAAAGTGGGAATTAACTTTTTGTTACACAGATTTTGTTTGTTTTTCCAATGAGGGGTGGTGTCATGAGAGTTAAGAGGGGATAGAGAAGGAGGGAAGGAAGGAAGGAAGGAAGGAAAGGTTACAGAAGCATCTCTTTAAGAAATGAGAAAAAGAAACGAGGCCAGAAAGAAGCACAGACAAGTAGGACAGCTTTGAAAACTACAGGTTGAGTTTATTATATGCTTTAAAAAGAAAAGTAAGCTGTACATTACAGAGATATCCAGGTTTGTGTATAATTCTCTTTTTCCTTTCTACTATGTATATGGAAATGTATCATTTTATTTGGCATTTTTAAAGTTCAGGATTTTTTTTAAAAGCACAAAAATAAAGAGGAGCTGTCAGTATGGGAAGGAAGAGCTAGGAGAGATCAAAAAGATCAAGCGAAGAGAATGACAGCACAGGAAAGGCGGTCAGGAGGGCCAGAGAGTTAGTGGAATGACCCTCACACCCTCCCCACTCTCCTCCTACCCCTCACACCCTCCCCACTCTCCTCCTGCCCCTCACACCCTCCCCACTCTCCTCCTGCCCCTCACACCCTCCCCACTCTCCTCCTACCCCTCACACCCTCCCCACTCTCCTCCTGCCCCTCACACCCTCCCCTCTCTCCTCCTGCCCCTCACACCCTCCCCACTCTCCTCCTGCCCCTCTCACCCTCCCCACTGTCCTCCTGCCCCTCACACCCTCCCCACTCTCCTCCTGCCCCTCTCACCCTCCCCACTGTCCTCCTGCCCCTCACACCCTCCCCACTCTCCTCCTGCACCTCACACCCTCCCCACTCTCCTCCTGCCATTCATACCATCCCCACTGTCCTCATGGTGCTGGTTAAAGTTCTCATAGGAATCCCAGCGAACAGCTGAGTCTGTGGTGTTGTAGTCAACAGAAACAGATGCATCATTTCGTGGAGGTTCCCGACCTAAGATGGAGGAACAGTGAGTACCAGGTTCAAAGGGTAGGCAGGAGACCCAGGGAAGAGGGAAATGGGAAGTGGGGGAACACAGACAACAGAACATGGTTTGGGTCTTACCTTTTATTTTCTCAGGGCCAGAGGAGAAGACAAATTCCACTGAGGCTTGGAAGGGGAATCTCTCATCTGGGGAAGAAGGAAGACAAGAAGCCTGAGCAGAAGGGCCCTGGGGATCACCCATGAGATCCTCAGCCACTTCCCTTGCCTTTGTGTGAGTCCCTCCCCCTGCTCTCAACATGGACACTATCCCTTTCCCAGGTATGCCAGCCCCCTCCCCACTCCATGTCCCTTCCCCTTCTGTCCCCACCCCACACACACACTCACCAGTCCAGGCCTCATCCAGCTGGTCCTTGGAGAAGGTAAGGTGGGGTCCATGAATGGTACATGTGTGGAACTGAACCCGGAACACAAGGGTCCGCTCTGACTCCCGGCCCCCCTTATGATAACATGTCACCTGTTTGGCGGAAAGAGGGGAAAGGGCCCTTAGGCACCCAGCCACCATGTCAGGTTATCACCATAGCTCAACACCAGGGAACCTCTTCTGGGAACCCCCCCTTCCCCACCTCAAAGTCCCACCTTCACCACCTGGACCCACAGAACATCAGAATATGACTCTCTTCTCTATGCCTCCCAAGGTCTCCCCTTTCTTCCCCCAGGCTTTGCTGTTCTTACCAGGACATCACCTTTGAGGAGAAGTGCGGGCTCCAGGCTGATGCAAAGCTGCTGGGGCCCTGGGTTTGAGATGTGACTTCAGGGAAAATGAGAGGAAAGGCAGGGATGAGATAGAAGGCTGACTGGAGAGGAAGCTTATCTGCTTTACGTCTAATGAGTCAGGAATAAGGGAGCAGACACAGGGACCAAAGGCTCAGACTGTGGGGACCCAGATGCCAGGTGAACTAGGGAGTGGAAACATCTGGGGAGGAGGGAGCAGTTAGAAACAGACCTTCCGGGTTAAGGAGGAATTTGGAAGAATCAGGATAGTGTGGGGAATAAGATATCTCAGCTGGGGACCAAGGCCTCTAAGGAGGGTAGGGGCTGAGCTTGGGGAATGGCAGATGGGGAGGAATAGGTGTTGGTAACAACTCACTAGACTCCAGACGTATAGACGAGTTGCATGGACTGATAGATCTTGAGGAATGGTTGATAGCCTGATGTAGAGAAGAGGAAGGTGAGGAGGAGGAGGAGGAAGAGGCCAAGAAAGGCTCCGCCCCTTCCTGAACCCACACCGTCAGGGGACTCACCTGTTCCTGGCTCAAAGGCAGGCAGGACTGGCATGAGCACATGGTGGAGAAATAGGGGGCTGCTATTCATTCTGATGGAGCCAGACAGGAGACCGCTGAAGTAGCTGATGTACCTGTGTGGGTTTATTCAATGCACCATGAACTGGGTGTAAGGCACTGGGCCAGGCAATGAGAGGGATGAACAGACACTGTCCCTGCCCACAAAGTGCTTATAGACTAGTAGGGAAGGGTGTTTAGGCACACAAATCATGAGGCTGGACAAGTGCACAAGAGGCAGGGGGAGAAAAAGTCACATGAGGACTGAGAAAGGAATGAACATTTCCAACCAGAGTCAAGAGAGGGAGGGATTCATGGTAGAGATGGCTAGTTCAGAGAAGGGAACTATATTCTATACCTTTCTACATATTCTGTATCAGGCTTAAGTTCCTGATCTTTTATTTTTTTTTCTATCACAAACGCCTTTGGCAATCTGTTAAGGCCTATGGACCCCTTCCCTGAATCATGGATTGTTGTTTTAATTCCTAATTGAAGGAAATGCTAATTTCAGTTAAAGGTTAGTGAAATAAAAATGTATTTTTTTTCCCCATCCAAGTGGACTCTCTGAAATTCATCCACAGATTCCTTAGGAGTCTATGCAGTGACCCCATGTCAAGAAGAATGCCTATCCTGGATCATCTCCTCTCTCTGTCCCCTTCCAGGCAGTTCTGCCCTCTACCTCTCAGCCCCAGGAAACTTCTCCATCTTCCACTCTGGGACAGGGCATCCCAAAGAGCTCTTTTCCTTTCACTGAGTCCTGCTTCACTTAGAGCCCCTTGGTTCTCACCTTATTCCTTAGCAGGCAGGCCCCACTGTACCTGGCCACCCCACGCTCACCCTTGTCCACCACTCCCTTCCTGGGGGTCCTCTGCTCACCTTCTCTGGGAGGGCTGGAACTCAGAGGCCACTTTGTCTTCACAGAACTTTCGCATGGTGAGAGTGGCCAAAGCCTGGTCTTCACTGGGAGGGGAGGGAGTGTCAGGGGAGTTATGAAGGTATAGAGCCTTTTTTTTTCCCAACCCACTCCCCAGTGACCCTCTAGAGGAAACCTTGCAGGATGGGGGTGGGGGTGGGGGGAGGCAACCATAATGATGGTCTACTTCTGTATAGCCTAAAGCTATACAGCTTTATATAGAGTATATATAATATAATAACATATACTATATATAATACATACATATAAATATATTACCCATATATACATATATATTATACAATATTATATACATATAACTACATATTACATATACATATATATATATATATATATGCCTATATCATTTTCAAGTGATTGCCTTTATCTCCACTTTACAGGTGAAGTTAAGTGACTTGTCCAAGGTCACAAAGCTAGTACTGACCCAGGGGGTCCCATTCTACTCTGCTGCCTGAGGGGGAGTGAGATGTCAATGGGTCACATCCTGAAGAGGGTGGAGGATGAGGCTGTCTGTTCCAAGCTTCCCCGTCCCTAGCTGGTGGGAAGGAGGGAGGGATAGAGGCACACCTGGCCGAGATCTTGCTGTAATGCATGTAGGCTGCCACAATGACACCCAGCTTGGCCTTGTTTCCCTGAGGCAGAGAGACACAGAGACGGGGCTGGTACTTCGGCTGGAAGTCTTGGTCCTCGCAGACCTCATCTCCTCTACCCCTCACCCCACATGCTGGGCGTACCTTGCAGTAGAGAACCACCACATGCTGGGGGCTGGAGCTAAGCCAGTTTTCCATAGCCTTGCAAATGGAGCAGAGCTTGTCCAGGGGGGGTGCGTGTAAGTCAGGCCAGCCGAAGTCCTGGACCTGGAGGGGTCAATCAGTCCACAGGCAATTTATTAAGAACTGTGCTAAGGGCTGGGGATACAAAGAAAGGCAAAAACCTGAAAGAAGGCAAGGTAGGATGACTAGGGCCCTGGGGCCAGGGGTGGGTAGCTGTGAACTACTTGAAGGTGGGAGAGGGAAGATCCTGGGATCTTCTATGCTGGTCTGTGCCAGGCTCAGATCCCACAGAATCACAGATTTAGAGCTGAAAGGAGCTTCAAAGAGGACCTCAAAGTCACCTAGTCCAAACTCCCCATTTTACAGATGAGGAAACTGAGGTCCCAGAGAAGTCCCAAAGTTATATAGACAGTAAATGGCAGAGGTGGTATTTGAACCCAGGCCTTTCCTCTGAATTCTAAAATTCAGCACTCCCTGTTTTCTGGAGCACAGAGCCCTGGCATGTCTCCTTCCCCACCCTCTCTGAACCTGTTCTCTCTGGCACATCATAGCCATCCTGCTCTCAAGGAGGCAGGCTGGGGGAGGCTTTTCAAGAGCAGCGCAGCCATTCCACTTTACAGGGAAGGGGGCAGATTGGCCAGGTTTCCTCCAGCCTAAGGCAGAGATACCTGTTTGGAGAGTCTGGGCAGCCCTCCCCTACCTTGGGGTTCAGGCGGTTCAGGTCATGCCGTTTCTCTGACAGGTTGAAGAGCTGCAGAAGACAGGGGCAGGGGTAGGGGACGGTTTGTGATTTTACTGGTATAGGGAACTCCCAAGACCCACCAAATGCACCTCTGTTCTGCAACTTCCAGTCTTCAAAGAGAGTTGCTTGGAGGCTAAGTGACTTGCCAGGGTTATACAGCCAGTATTTATCAATCAAGCAAAGTATCTACTAAGCATCTACTATGTGCGGCCACTGTGCTAAGTGCTGAGAATACAAATACACACAAAAAAATGAAACTGAAGGGAATAAGGATTTATATTTATAGTACTTTCTATATGCCACACACTGCTATTACTGTATTATAAATTACACTATTACAAATATTATCTCATTTGATTCTCACAACAACCCTGGAAAGTATTAGATGCTGTTATTAACCTCATTTTACATTTGAGGAAACTGAGGCAAACAGATGTAAATGTGACTTCCCTAGGCTTGACAGCTTAGGATGTGTCTGAGGCTGCATTTGAACTCAGGTCTTCCTGACTCCACACCACCTCAAAGCCTCGAAAACCTATTCTCAAAGACCTCACATTTTATAGCAGACATAGGGCTAGAACCCAGATTTTCTAACTACAAAGTAAGCTTTGAGGTTATGCCATGAGGCAGCCCAATGGCTGTTAGCTTTGTGACCTAGTACCCCACCACGCCAGGCCCCTCCTCCAAGCCACTCTCCCAGGTCTTGGCCCTGTCTCTCACCAAGTAGTTGTCCCGGTGCTTGGACTGTAGCACGTGTGCCAGTTCCCGAAGGTGGCCTCGGTGTCTCTGTTCATCGAACCTCCCTGGGAAGGCGGCCGCCAGGATTCTCTCAGTCACATAGGTCAGATCCAGGTCCCAGCGGCGCTCCATGAGTGGGTCCAGGCTAAAACTCCTAGTAGTTATATAGAAGCAAACAGGGATGGAGGAATGAAAGTCACAGGGAAAAAGACTTGGGGTCAACCTAAAAGAACTTTCTACTATTAGTAGGAAGCAGTTCTAGGAAGAATTTTTCCTCTAATTGGAATGTAGTGAGCTCTCTGTCACTAGAAGTATCCAAATTGAAGGGGCTGGTCAGGGATATTATAGAGAGAATCTACTCTCCCTGGGAGCTTTAAAGTCATTTCCAACACTCAAATTATGGAGGAGTTTATGTTGCCAGGTAAGGTTATGTACGGGCATAGGTGCTAAAGAATCACCTAACCTGGGCATGGCAGATATCATAGTAGAGGAAGAGTGGGGAGATGGGAAGGAGAAGGTATGATACCAATGATATCATAGGATTTGGAGCTAGAAAGAGGTCATTTACTCCAACATCTTTATTTGTTTTTTTTTTTTTGGCTAGGCAATGGGGTTAAGTGACTTGCCCACAGTCACACAACTAGTAAGTGTTATGTGTCTGATGCCAGATTTGAACTCGGGTCCTCCTGACTCCAGGGCTGGTTCTCTATCTACTGTGCTGCCTAGCTGCCCCAACATTTTTAGTTTACAGAGAAGAAATCTCTAGCCCAGGTAAATGAATTATCCAAGGTTACACAGGCTGTAAGTCCTAGTAAGCTGGCATTTGAATCCAGCTCAACCAATCAATCAATATTTATTAAGCGCCTAATACTCTTACATCCTTTCTACTACATCATATGGGGACATTGTGCAGGGCCGGGACACAGATGACTAAGGGATGGGAACTCCTCACCTACAGATGGGGAAGCGGGTATTGTCTGGTTACAGCTGGAGACTAAAGGGGGGAGGGGTTAAGGCCACCGCCACCCTCCACCCTGCCCTCATACCTGGGCAAGGTGCTCCGCTGCTTGGAATGATTCAAAGACTTGGTGGATCCCTGGGGAGGAGAGAAACCTTGTCTGGGACTCCCCAGCCCTTCCCTCCTCTCCCACCTCCTTAGCATCCCCCCCCACCTCGTTCACTTGAAGGTCATCATTTCCCCTAGCTAACCCCCTCCCCCATTCCTCCTTGACTGCTACCTTACCAGGTGCTCGATGCGTCTGACTGGTGCAGTGTTTCTCCTCTATGAAGGAAAAGAGCATTGGATGAATTAGTGGTGGGAGCAGAGTGGAGACATAGACGGTATCTGGGGAACGTCCAACAAACTTTTTAGTAAGTCCCATAGATTGCTCAGCCTGAGTGGGCAAGTCACTTCCCAAGGGTAGAGGGTAGAAAGGGGCTGCTGACAGTTGAGGAAGTGTCTATACCAGGAGGATGAGAAAGAGGATGAAGATGGGCACCAAGATGCCAACTGCTCCCTGAATGGTGCCCACAACCAATTTCCTAGGGTATCCCAGAAGAGCCAACCCACCCACCATATCTGGAGCTGTTAGACAAGAGACTACTCAGGGTTCTCTGAACATACTCACCAGCTCCACAGGAGGCAGGGCCTGGCACGCTGTGGTCACCTGGAAGGAGGCCCTGGTGAAAGGGGTATCTATGCCCCCAATGCCCACTCCCTGGAAGGGTGGTGGTAGAGGGTACCCCTGGTCCAAGGTGAGATGGCTGAGGGGGTTGTGGGCACCAGCGGAGGACTGACGCTATAGAACGGAGCTGTTGCAGTCTCCCCTCTGGCCTCTCAGCCCCCCACCCCCTAGGCCCCTTGCTTGTTGCTCTTGGCTCCCAGCCCCCTCCCCACACAGACCCCCATTCATCCCAGCCTAGGGACGAGAAGCTATATATAGTACAGCGCAGGCGGGCAGTGGCCGAGTAGGGACACTGGTGTCTTTCATGGGGGAGAACCCGCCCCTGGGCACAGAGCTTCCCCCCAGGCTGATTCCCTCCCCCTTCTCCACCCCCAGCACTCTACACCCTCGATCCCCAAAGAGGTGACACTGCTAGATGGTGGTGAATGGCTCTCTGTGCCCTCCCTTCCTTCTTTCATCTTAAACACTTTCCAGGAGGCTGGAGGGTGGGGGTGGGCAGGGCTGGTAGGGAGTGGTAGAATCCGGAGGTCCTGATGACCAGCACTGCTCCAAGCTCTAGGGGCCATTCCGGGTGCCCAGAGCCCTCTTTCAGAAGTACAGGAGAAAGCTAAGCCTGACACCTGGAGCCCCACACTTAGCTCCCCTTCCTCCCTGCTGGGGCTCACCACCCCCTCCCCCCTTCCTTCGACTCCCGTCCTCGTCCTCAGTCCAGCTGCAGCCTGGGCACATCACCAAGACAAACTCCCAATTCCCCCCTCCACCCAGCTCGTGACACCCCCCTGGAGGTGGAGCCCAGCGGCTCTTAAAGGGATAAGCACAACATCCTCCCCCGTGACCAGTGTGTCTGTAGGGCTAACGATACAGGATATCTGAAGGGTTGTGGGGATGGTGGTAGGAGGGAAGAGTGGGGGGGGGGGGTGTCAGGCTCCTCCTGGGCCTGGGGGCCAGGAGGGTCAGCTAAGCCCTAGGTTATCTCTCTGGGACCCTCCTGGAGCCAGGCTGAGGGTCAGGGGACTTACCTTGGCCTCACATTTCTGATGTGCTGCCGCTTTGCAAACTGAGGGGGAATAAGAGAAGGAGGGAATAAAAAAAACACTTTTGGATGGCCTTAGGCTACAGCCTTTCTCCCTGACCTTGGAAGGGAAAACCTAGGGATCCAGTAGGATCTGGGAACATAGGGAAGGAAACATGGATTTCCTCAATCAGGGATGTTGACAGGGATGAGAAAGGGAAAAGGGGATGGTAGGTGTTGTAAGTGGAGAGTGGCAAGGAGGAACTTGAGGACCACAGACTGGGGTTGGGGAGATTTCAGAAGGGAGGATGAAGCTGGGAATGGAGTGCCAGGGGCTGAGGGGGCAGGGACGAAGGCGCTGTTAGTGCTAAGTGTTGTCTGGCTTATGAGGGGACATTAATGAATTTTGGTGTTGGAGATGGGCCAGTTTTAAAGGAGTGGGGCTCTTTCTAAGGGGGCAGCTGGGAGGGAGAGGTTGTCAGGTTGTCCTGCAAGAGGAACAGGCTGGGAATATGGGGAGGGAGCTGCCTGGACGGGGAATGCCCAGGTTAGATGGGAGTGGGGAATGTCTAGGAGTCAGGGGAGTCTCTCGAGTGTGGGAGGATGTCAAGGGCTCTCACCTCGGCATACCAGCCCGGTTCCATCAATTGTCACCTTACAGGCAGTACAGGCTGGTGGCTTCTTCCGGAAAACCTTCTCCCTAAAACTGTGTGGCTCAGCCTTCCCAGGCTAAGGACACAGGAATGGACAATTCATTACAATCTGGATCAGATACTGTCCCCAGCGTCTTCATGCTTCGGCCCTGTCCTTCCCCAGTCATCAGTCTTGAGCCCCTCCCCCTCCCGTTATCACTCTATCTGGCTTGGGTTTGTCAACCGGAAATTATAAAGGCCTGCAATACACATTTTTCTCCTTTTCCCCCCCTATACCCTCACTCTCCAAACCTCTAGCCCTGCCTCCCCTGCCTGGAAGATATAGAGACCCCCTTCAAAGCCGTTAATTCTGGGGAGGAGTCCTGGCCCTGGGGAGTTTCTGGTCTCACCCCTCCCTCCTCTTGGGGGAGGTGGAATGTGCTTGGAATCTGCTTCCTCTCATAACCTGGGTCTGACGACCTGGGCTCCTCCCAGGATAACACTTGTGTACATCACATGGTCATCGATGGTACAGTGCCCTCATGGTCCCTGCCTACCTTGCCAGGCTGGAACATGGGCACCAAGCCCAGGGAGGGGCCTGAGAGCTGGGTCGCCTAAATCTAATCCAGGGCCTGCAAGCCATCCCTCTTTGCTCTAAGTGCCTCCCTCTTTGCTCTAAGGGGTTGAGGAAGGCCCCCTCCGTTCACTGACCCTGTCTCCATTTCCTTCGCCCAGGGAGGCCCCACTGTCTCTTCCCTTCTTTTCCTCCCTCACCAGTTCCTGGGAAAGTCACCTGAATGCAGCAGATAGGCCCTCCCGTCATGTCCCTGAACCTACCAGTTTGGGACATTGGAATCTCATCTGGTATTCAGAAGAGGGGTGGCCTAAATCGGGCACTTCTCTCCCCTCCCTTTCATCCCCCATCAGAGCAGCTGGTATGCCCCCTTGTAACAACACTACCCTTCTCCCTGCTCTCTCCCCCCTCTCTCTTGGCTGCCACCAACTGCTTGCCACAGCCAGGGCCACATATTTGCTCATTGACCGGGTGGAGGTGCCAGCTGTAAGGTGTGATTGCAGTGAGAAGACAGAAGGAAGGAAAGATCGAGGTGGGGTAGTGGACAGAGATCCAGGAACACCAGAAGTGTAAACACTGCCCAGCTGTGTGACCCTGGGCAAGTCATTTAATTTCTGTTTGCCTCAGTTTCCTCATCTGTAAAATGGGGGTGACAATAACTCCTACCTTGGGGGGTTGTGAGGGTCAAGTGAGAGAACATCTGTAAAATCCTTTGCACAGCAGACTTTATACTTTGTAAAATCCTGGCACACAGTAGATGCCATATAGATGTTAGTTGTTATTATTATTAAGTAGGAAGCAGCCTGGAGCCTCTCAGGGTGGGTGGATGCCTCTTCGTCTGACAGACTATACTCTGATTCCAGAACTCTCCTCCCTCGTGACAAAAACTCAGAAATTTGTCCTGTGACCTGGGCCAAGTCACACTCCATCTCAGAGCCTCGGTCTCCTCATTTGTAAAATGAAGGGGTTGGGTCGAATAGTCCCTAAGACTTTTCCTAGCTCCAACATTCTACGTTTCTGAGGGGTCACTTACTTTGCTTTTTTGGTGGGTCCATATTCCTCTACTCTCCGTGTGGATTTAGGGTCGTTGACACTTGTGTTTTAACCAATGACAACTTCAACCCTCCCCCATCCCCCATCTTCCAAAAAACCCCAACAACCAAAAAATACTCTCTTGTCCCAAATTCAGCCTGCTCAGATATGATACCAAAAAAACCCAAACAAACAAAAAAACCCCAAACAAGCAAAAAAAAAAACTTCTCACAAATTTAGAGCTGGAAGGGACCTGAGGGGTCATCCAGTCCATTTTATAGATGGGGAAACGGAGACCTCAGAAGTGACTGGCCCATGGTCACACAGATACCAGAGGTGGAATTTTAACCCAGTCTTTTAACTTAATATCTGGTTCTTTCTACTCTCCTGAACTGCCTTTTCCACAACTAAATTTCCGTTTAGGTCATAAACCTAGCCCACCCATACTGACAAAGATCACTTCCTGTTCAACAATTCAGCTTCAGAAAAACGTTGGCGCTTCAAATTTTCCCTGTCATTTGAGCCCTATGGCCTCCTTAGTCTGCCCTCCCAAAGACAGGACATCCTCCCGTATCCAGGTTTACAAGATTAGAGACAAATTGCTTCTCCTATAATCTCATCATGGATTGGAGAGGCAATACTCCCTTGACCCTTTTGGGGTCTGGGATGAGAGGCTGAGGGGAAGGCAGGCAATGTTTTCTGATTCTCTACCCCACCACACACAGTCTCATTATGTATTACCCAACCTGTCCCCAGCTCCTGCCCAAATATCCTCCCCTCTGACCCCTCTCTTTTGCAATCCCCTAAGAGACTGGTTGGAACCCAGGCAGGAATTTTTCCACTCTGGGTCAACCCAACCAGACCTATCGGTTTTTGAGAGATCCAGGCAACTAGGCCTGTTCACAAAATGCAAATGTATATAAAAGTGAGGACAGATTATGTCCTTCGGCTAGAGTACTCCTAATGTACCCCTGGCTTCCATCCCACATCCTGGGGCCAGAAAACTCCATCCTAATTCCAGTTAATCCCACTTCCACAGAATCCTCTAAGAGGGAATTGGGAGGAAAGGGTTATCTCTGTCCAGTTCCCCAACCTGAGTGCAGACCCACGGGGCATGAAGGAAATAGTTCCAAAGTACTCCAGGGTTATGGTTTCCCTGGACTCAGAAAGTGGAGGACCAGCTAAGTGACTGCCCCCAGCTAGAGGGAAGGAGGAGACAAGGACTTGTGCCACTACTTCCTCCCTAGCTGGGGGATCTGTTAGTCATTCCCACCCCCAAATTTCTGCAGAATCCAAGCACCCGCACCCCCACCCCCACCCCCGGCTTTGCCCACAGAGAGACTGAGAGAGTGTGGCCAGGTTAGGGGGGAAATTAAAAGGAGAAGAGGAGCCTGAGAGGGATCAGGTCAAAGGGCTTCAGTACCCATTTCCCCTCTCCCATCCCACGCTTTGTCCCATTTCTACCCCTCTGCCAGGGGCCATGCCCTACAGAGAAATCCCCGCTCCCTCATTCTGCCTCTGTGGCTTCTCCCCAACTTGTCCTCCAGGCTCTGTCCCACTTAAGACCCCTGCTCCCACCCGATCCCCCCGGTGCCTGTCCCCTCCTACCCTGCACACAGCCCGGCCGCTGTCCCTTCTCCCCAGGGCTCGGAGCAGCCTCTCCACTGGGCTGCTGGACTTCATGTTTCCCCAGGGGCCAAAGGCCACCCAGGCTGGGATATTTGGGGCAATGCTGGGTGGACACTGAGTGTCCGGCTGGGCGGGGGAGCCAGGAACAATGAAATGGCTGGGCCTGGGGCTTCCTGGAAGCCGCAGGATGGAGGCGGCTGCTTCCCTTGGGCGGGGGTTGGGACAAGAAGTGTGTGTGGGGGGGAAGGGTGGGTCTGGCTTGGGTCAGATGCTAGAGGTCCACCCCTGCCTGGAGGTGGAAGGGGAGTGCAGGGTGGGAGGGGGCACAGCTAGGCTTCAGGAAATGGGGAGGGCAAGAGAGGATGGGGAGTGGGGGTGGGGACAAAGTCAGATTATATTCCCAAGATCTATCCCATTGGGTCCGTTCAAGGATCCAATCAGATCATAACCTCTCCAACTGACCGGACGGTGGCCATTTCTAGGGATCTATCTCCTGGGGGGGGGGAATAGGTGGACGGGGAATCCCAGATTCCTCATAGCTGGTATACACCCACATCAGATCCTCGTTGTCAAGGAGAATGGATCTCTGGGATCTGGACAGACCTGGACCTGGTCTCCCTGACAAGGATCCAGATCCCAGAGAGTTCGTGAATTAAGTGAAAGGAAGAAGTGGGGACGTAGTGTCCCAGTTAGCCTAGTGGTTCAGAACATTTTGTGCCCCCAGGGACTTCCTGGCCCCTCCCTCCATAGGCTGGAGGGCCCTGGGAACCACCTTCCCTTCTCATCACCTTCTCCCCGCCTCCCACTCCTCCCCAGTCCACTGTAGTCTGGCAGTAGATGCGAGGTATGACGATTGCAGAAGCCCTAGACACATGAATCCTTCTCTGGGGCAGTGAGGTACCCTGTGAGCTGGTCCTGCCAAGGGTGTCATGCTGCGGGGGCCTGAGGGATCCCACATCACCTAGGAGCCCTCCTCTGGGGATAATCCTTTTGGCCCCAGAGTTCTTCCAGGTGTAATTTCTTATTCTGTTACCATATCTCAATCCTGATGAGTCTCAAGTCCTGGTCTTCTTTCCTGCCGCAGCCCAGCTTCCTCCCTCCTCCCTGCTCCCTGACAGGAGAGGAGAGCCCATAGGTGGCCTAAGGAGACAGCTCCTCATCTCTAGCCCATTTCAACCTCTTCCCACCCCTCCTTTGAGCCCTCCAGCCCTCTCCTATTCCTCCCCAGCAACCGCACCCCACTCCCTCTCGTCACCTTCATGGCTGCCCTCTGAAGTGCTCCCCTGTATTCACCCAGCTCAGCTCCAGAGCCCAGGAGAACAGGACAGGAGTCTCTTCCCCTCCTTCTCACCCTCCTCTTCTCTCCCCTCCCTACCACAGGCCTCCAGCCTCCTGGGAATTCAGCCAGCTTCCTGTCTCAGGAATGGGGTGGAGGTGGGGGGCGAAGGGGGGAACGGAGGAAACCCTAAGTTAGTCCTTGAATACAAGGGGTTCATGACCTGAATTTGCAGGATTAACTATTTTATTGTCCTAACCCCAACCAGAAACCTTTGAACACCCGGGACCTGAGCAATCACTCAGAAAGAATGTGTCACCCCCTCACTCATTTGCATCTAGTTTGCATGGTATTTACTGAAGGTCAGCCTCTGCCCAGGCAGTCTGCCCAAGTGCTCCTTTTTGACTCCATCGGTCCTACCTCTGATTTCCTCAGTCCCTGCCCCCTTTTCCCCTGAAAATCCTCCCCCCATCCCCTCCACCATAGTTGTCCCCAAGCTTTATGTGGGTGAGGCACTGAATTTGTATATAGAATGTTATAGACTGGAAAAGCCCTTAGGGTCTGTTTAGTTTACTAAATTGTAAACACCAAGAAGGCAGACACCTTGACTTATCTAAACTGTGTCTCCCCCGGCAGTTAACAGTGTTCTCTCAGTAGATGCTTAGTAAATCTTTGTTGAATTAAACGGAATTATTGAAGTATCTATTCCAACTCCCTTGTTTTACAGATGACAAACCTAAGGTCTAGAGAGGGGTAAAGGGTTTGCTTGCCCCACCACCCCTTGCTTCCCTGTTTGAACTGGCCTGTATCCTGAAAAGTATCCTGACCTCCATTTCTTTCTTGCTCACCCACTCCTGACTAGCTCTCCCCTTCTGGGCCCTAGCAGACTGCTAGGATACTAACCTCACGGGGCTAGGGGAACCTCTACAGAAAAATCTTGCTTCTTTCTATTTCTGTCTCCTCCACTTCCTAACTGAATTGAGGGACTGGGTGCTGCTAAATTGAATCAGACCCTCCTAATGCTTCTTGGCTTCAGGCAGCATCTGCCCAACTAACTAGGCCCCTTCCGAACAGGATGGTGTGCAGAAATAGGGAATTTAGGACTAAGGACAGAAACATCCAAGAAGGCTAGTTTCTCAGCCCTGAAATTTGAAAGGGTCAGGCAGTGGATCTTGGGGCCCCCCACTTCCACCATTAAGTCTGGCCAGGTCTCAGGACATTCCAGACATTGTGCCAATGTGGGCAGTAGGACCCTAGCATGATACAGTACCTAGGGAGAGACTGGCACAGAGAAGATCGAGTGGCAGGTGATTTTTCTTTTCTTTCTAGTTCCTCACATCTCCTCTGAGTTGAATCTCTTCTTTTCCCTTGGGTCAGCCCACAAAACCCTGGACTCTTATCTGTAGCCCCCAGCTCCCTTGTCTTTAACTCCTCCCTTCAGGACTGCCATCCTCCTCCTAAAGGGTCTTACACTCATCTCCCTGGTACTGGCTCATGGCAGCCTGCAGCTAAACCCTTCCAATATCCCTCCCCTTGAGCCTCTGTAGGTCTGGCAACACTAACTCTTCCACCTTAACCACCTTTGCTGGTGGTTAGAAATGGTGGGAGGAAATACTTGTGGGTCAGGCCTCAGTTTCCTCCTTGTGTTCTGGGCTGGGAGGGGCATGAAAAGAGAGGCACTACATTACAGAAGTGATTTGAGATCACCAGGGTACCCCTGATTGGCATCTGCAGAGGAGAAGATAGGTGAGGCAGGAGGGAGGGCAGTCTAACTTCCTGCCATATTGTAGAGTGGGAAAACTCACCTATCTGGTGTGGATACCTAAGGGTTAAGGTAGGAAGAAAGTTGTAATATTAGCCCCCTAGACCACATGAAACTCAGCTCTCAGCTGGACTTCTGCTCTCCCACTGCTCCCTCCTGTCCTAACCATCCTTGCTGGGCACATTCCAGTGTTTGCCTGCCTCCTCCCTCCCTTGACTTGGCCCCCTCATATGCTGGGCCAGGAAGTCTTCGGTTTGTTTGGAGAAGCCCCCTCCACCCCTTACCCCCCCCTCCTGGAAATAGCTGTGGTTGGATACACAGGCTGGAAGCCCAGGCCTGGCTAGAGGGGAGGGGGAAAGGGTGAAAGGGCCAAGGAAAGAAGGAAGGATCCAGGCCTTAATTAGGATGGGGGGGGGAAGAGTCCTAGGGTAGGAGCAGAAGGGAGGCCAGATAACTGGGGATGCAGAATAAATCAGGGGTAGGGACTGGGGGAACTGAAAGGTGTGTGTGGTGGGGGATTGTGCCAGAAGCATAGCTGGGGATATAATTTCAGTCTTTACTTTCTTCCTGCCTCAGTTTCCCCAAACATGAAGTGGTGGGGGGAAAGGAAGCCCTCTCCACTCTCCAAAACCTCTACAAATCTTGGGCCCAGGGTAACTTTCCTCCTGCTGTGGGACTCTTGGTGGCGCTGGGTGTGTCTTTGGGGCATACTTGCCTCTAGGTAGCATTTAGCGGCTGCCTATCTGGATATGTCCGCTACCTTGAATGCATTGAAAGGTGCGGCGTGGCCGTGGGAAGGTGCGCGTCCCGGGACGGTGGGGTGAATGTGAGTGTGCTGGTGGGTGGGCGTACCTGTGTGCATGGAAGGGGGTGTGTGCGTATGCCAGTGTTGTGTACGTGAGTCCGAGTCCCCGCAAGCCCTGCCTCCTAAGGCCGGCGTTTGCACATCGTTGAAGAACAAACTTTCCGTGTCTTAGGCTAGTAGAACTGGGTGTGAATGGGTAGGTGTGGACTGCCCCCCGACCCAAGCCGGGCTCCGAAGCGGGGTCCCCCTCCCCCACCAGCCCTACTCCGCGGGGCTCCCTGCCTCCCAGGCCTCGCCCAGGGCGCCGCCCTCCTCCCCTCTTCTCCTCCTCCTCTTCCTCCTTGGCCCCGGAATCAGCCGTGACGCAGCCGCCGCCCACTCACCTTGGGGGGCCGTCCTGAGGGGCGGGAGCGCGGGGGGCAGCAGCAGGGGGAGCCCCCAGCCCAGCCCATCCCGCCGCCGGGGCGGAGAGTGAGGGATGGAGAGAGGAGGGACCCGCAGCCACCGCCACCGCAGCAGCCACCCCCGGCCGAGCGCTTCCAAGCGCAGCTCCGCTCGCCTCCCGCCTCCGCCCCGCGCCCCGGGTCCCCGTGTCCCCGCTCGCTCCGCTGCCCGGCCCGGCTGGGCTGGGTTGCTCGCTGCCCTCCTTCGTTCCCTCTTTTCCTCCCTCCCTCCTTCCCTCCCTTGCTCCCTCCTTCCCTCGCTCCGGCTCCAATCCCCACTTCCCGCCCCGCTCCCCGCCCCCTAGCCCTCTCTTCTCCCCACCTTCTCCCGAAGCCTGTAGGAGACCCAGACTGGAGAGGAGAGACGGAGAGAGACCCCGAGACCCTGCCAGGTCCCCCTCTGGGGAGCGGGAGAGTAGGGGCTCCCTGGGCTGACCTTTTCACCCCTCTCCTCCCAGCCAGAGGTCGGGGGTGGGGTGGAACACAGCCATCGGGTTCGAGGGTCCTTCTGGTCGCCCCCCTCCCCCGGCCCACCCGGGGACGCTCCCAGGCCCCGCGTCGGTGCACTTGGGCTTGGGGTCAGGCCTAGACGGCCTCTGGCTTCCTGTTTCCCAAGCAGTTGGACACACACACTTCTCCTCCCTCTTTCCCAGCCGGGCCTGGCACACAGCCAGAGCCGATAAACAGAGGACAGATCAACAGCCTCCCGTCCTAGTTATTGACGTCCGTGGTTTTCTCCGCAAGGAAATGTACTTCGGTGAGGGGCTGGGGCAGTGACCCCTCTAGCTTAAAGTACCCAGGGAGCTTAGCATGAATTCAGTTCACATTTACAGTACTAAGTACCCAATCTGTGCTGAAAACGGTGTGCTAGGCCCTAGGGGAGATTGGAAGTTTTTAAATACCTGGTCCCTGTCCACAGGGAGCTTACAATCCAGTAGTGGTATCCGATACAAATTCGTAACTATATCAGAAAATAAAGCGTGTGCGTAAGAGGTGAGCAAGGTATCTTGTAGGAGGCAGGGAAGCCTTGATGGAGGAGGACTACATTTGAATTGGGCCTTTTAAGGAGGGGTAGGCACTAATAAGCCTATGCCTGAAAAGGAGTCAAGAGACAGAATATACCAAAATATTCACAGCAGTACTGTTCGGATTAGCAAATAACTAGAAACTTATGTAGGGTCCCAGAGATTGAGGAATGATTGATAAAAGGATGGATTGACAAAGATGACAAGAGAGGAAAATGACGAATGTGGAGGGGCTGTGGGAAAGCAGAGACACTGGTATGTTCTTGGTGGAGCTATGGATTGGCCCAGCTATTCTGGAAAGCAATTTGGAACTATGTCCCCAAAGTTACTAAATCATACATAAACCCCATATCTCATAGTGATACCAATACTAGGCCCATAATCCCCAAAGAGAGATGAGGATCTATATTGAAAAATATGGGTAGGAAGTCTTTTTTGTGGTGGCCCCAAACTGGAAATTAAGAGGATGTCATCCTATTCAGGAAGGGCTAGACACACTGTGGCATATGAATGTAATGGAACATTATTGTGCCATAAGAAACGACAAAAGGAAATTGGAAAGACTTGTATGAACCCATGCAGAGTGAAGTGAGCAAAACCAGAGAAATTTGTACAATAACAACGTAGGGGAAAAAAAACTTTGAAAGACTTTAGAACTCTGATCAATGCAATGATAAGCCATAAATCCAAAAGAATGAAGAGGAACATGGCATCTCCTGACAGAGAAGTGATGAACTTAAAAGAAAAGTAAGTGTTTGGACATGACTGTTCAATATGGAAATTTGTTTTGCTGGATTAGGCATCTAAGTATCAAGGACTTGATTTTTCATGTTTTTTTTTTTTACTGAGGTAAGTGGGAGGGACAGATTAATAAAACAATTTTTTTTTAAATTTGGGTATATGAATGCAATGGAATCATATTATGCAGTAATAAATGACAAATAAAATGTAAGTCCTAAAGCATAGGTCTTCCCATGTCACTCCCTGACACTGACTTCAGTGGCTTCAATTTATCACCTCCAGATGACAGACCCTGAGTTTGGCATTCAAACCTCTTCACAACTTGGCCCCTTTCTAACCTTTCCAGTCTTTTTACACTTGATTCTACATTAATGAATAAGCCTACAGTACTCAACAAGGATGAACTGCTTACATTCTAGTATAGGGAAATGACACTATATGTTTCCTCTTAACCATGTTATCATCAGGGACCATTAAGGGAGTATAATTATAATTATAATAATTATTATTATTATTATTTTGGTGAGGCAATTGGGGTTAAGTGACTTGCCTAGGGTCACACAGCTAGTGTCAAGTGTCTGAAGTCACATTTGAACTCAGGTCCTCCTGACTCCACGATCGGTGCTCTATCCACTGGAGTGTGTATAATTAGACAAGGCCTGAGAGTGGTTCTTTGATGATTTTAAGAGAATGGAAAGAAATAGGAAGAGGAATATCCTGGGATTGAGGGAGGTTATGGGGAAGGGAAAGAAAGGTTAAGGAAAATTAGTATAATCAGGTTGTGCAAGTAGGCACCTAAACAGGGAGTGAAGAAAGTGACTAACACTTGAACCTTACTCTCATCTGAATTGGTCAAAGGTGGGAAGATTACATACACATACACAGAGAGTTGAGTACAGGAATACATTTCACTCAACAGAGAAAGGAGGGAAAGAGAAGAGAAAGGGGGAATTATAGGGAGAGTACATTAAAGGAGGGGTTAGTCCTAAGCAAAAGAAACTCTTAGGATGTATCAAAAAACCGTAGTCCTTTTTGAGATGGTAAAGAATGGGAATCTGAAGGGGTTCCATAAATTGGGGAATGGATGAACAAGTGATGACATAGATATGATGAAATATTATTGTGCTGTAAGAAATGATGAAGGGGATAGTTTCAGAGAAACCTGAGAAGACCTGTATGAACAGATGCAGAGTGAACAGAACCAGGAGAATAATTTATATGATGAAAACAATATGGCAAAAGTAAACAACGCTGACTTAGATTAGGAACTCAGATCATAATTCCACAGGATTAATGATGAAACATTTAACCACTTCCTGATAAGAGAGGTGAATGACTCAGAGTGCAAGATGAGATAACATATATTTTTTGGATGTGGACAAGAAATTTTATTTGCTTGACTATACACGTTTGTAACAAGAGTTTTGTTTTTCTTTCATTAAACAGAGTAGAGGGAAGTATTGGGATAGGAGGGAGAAAAGGTGGATTTTTGCTGGTTGAAAAAAATTTTAAATAAAATGAAATTGAACTCGGAGTAATGGAAAAACTAATAAAGGATAATGAAACATATCCTTCCTCATAGTACAAAGGTATGGGGGGGGCTATTAGAACAGAATATTGCATAGATTGTCAGTCTCTGTTTCAGACCTTTTCCCTTATTTATTTTGGTCATGAGGAAGGGCTTGATATGTATGTGGTGGCTGGAAAAAGACGGCTGTAAAGACAAAGGGCAAAAAGCATTTCATATATATATTTGCATATATAGCTATATACACACACACATACACCCATACATGTGTATATATTTCCCACATATATTTATATTTGCATATGTACATACATATTCAAATACAGGATGGGTGGGAATTCAACAAAAGGATCAACTCTAGGTTAGGGAAGAGAGGAGGAGAAAGCACCTAGCCTTGGGAATAGTTCCACTTAGTTTAGGATAGTAAATGAGATTGTGGAGAGCCTTGAATGCCAGGCATTGAAGTGTCTTTCAGGCTGAGGTGAGCTGGTACCAGCTTTAATAGGCTCTTGACTTTTCTCAATATTCAGTGTGAGCATTTATACCTCAGAAATCAGCAAATGCTACAAATTGGGGCTTGTTTTTTTTTTATTGATTTATTGTTTTGTTGATTGTCTAGATTTAAGAAAGTAATCGAGGGGCAGGGAGGCGGTGCAGTGGAAACAGCACTGGCCCTGGAGTCAGGAGGACCCAAGTTCAAATCCAGCTTCAGACACTTGACACTTACTAGTTGTATGACTCTGGGCAAGTCACTTAACCACATTGCCTAGGCTAAAAAAAAAAAGTAATTGAGAAAATCATAATAATGCAGATTAAACTTAATAGTGTGTGTGGTATACTCCTCCCCACCCCCAAGTTAAACGTTTACCAGCATACCATTGCAAATCATGTTGCTGAATTGGAGTTGTTGAAACAGAGATGAGGACCCAGGAAGAGATTTATCTTTTCCTCTCCTTGGCCAGGATGTTTTCCCCACTCTTCCCTTAGTTCTTCCTCTTACCAGGGAGAATTTATTAAAAGGGCCAAGGGAAGGAGCATGCTAAGGAAGAGAACATAGATCATTTCATCTAGCTCTGTCTCTGAGCAGGATCATATCCTACCCATCCCAGTCACTGGAGAATCTCTTATTTTTAAAGACTTCTTCCTAACCTTTGCCTTTTCCTCTCCCCATTCCAAAAAGAGATTCAAATCTCCCACATTCAAGAACTTTCTCACGTCTATGTCTAACTTTAATCCCTCTAACTTAAGTATAAACTGTTTGCTTATGATAATGAACAAGCAATTATTAAGCACATACTATATACTGGACACTGTTGTGCACTTGGGATGCAAAGAAAGACAAAAACAGCTCCTGCCCTCCAGGAGCTCACGTTCTAAAAGGGAGATAATACGTAAACAACTAGGTACAGGGGGAGCTAGGTGGCACAGTGGATAGAGCACCCGCCCTGGAGTCAGGAGGACCTGAATTTGAATCTGGCCTCAGACACTAGCTGTGTGACCTTGGGCAAGTCATTTAATCCTGATTGTCTCCAAAAAACAAACAAAAATAAATAACTAGGTACATCTAAGTTATACAAAATGTAAAACTGAAAGATCATCTCAGAGGGAAGGAAGGCTCTACTAACCGTGGGTAGGGACCCAGGAAGGCTTCCTGCAGAAGATGGGATATGAATTGAGTATTTCAGGATACCAGGGAAGCCAGGAGGTGAGGGAGCAGGGTGGGGTATGGGGAGAGGGGAGCCATTTTAGGCTAGGGGCAGACAACATGAAGGCACAGGGCCCATCAATGGAGAGTTATGTGCAAGCAAGGTCAGCGAGGCTGGATCCTTGAGTACATGGAGGTGGAAGGGATGCTAGGCCTGGGCGGGGAGAGGAGGGCCAAGCAAAAGCAGAGTTGTGGGGGCAGCTAGATGGTGCAGTGGATAGAGCACCAGCCCTGAAGTCAGGAGGACCTGAGTTCAAATCCAGCCTCAGACCAAACACTTGACTCTTACTAGCTGTGCGACCCTGGGCAGGTCACTTAACCCCAATTGCCTAAAAAAAAAGCAGAGTTGTGAGTTGGGTAGTCTTGTGAGGAACAGCAATAATTGGAATGTGGAGAGTCAAGTGGAAGAAAACTGGTGGGGCTGGAAGGGGCCAGGTGGGAAGAGCTTTAAATGTCCTACACAGGACTTTATATTTGATTCTGGAGTTTATTTACTGAGTATGACAATCATTAGCACTTTAGGCACCTGGGTTAAGGATGGACTGGAGAGGGGAGAGACACTGGATAGAAAACTATTGCAAGAGTCCAGGTAAGAGGATCTGGGATGGCTATAGGTAGTTATAACCTCTTTTTTGTTGTTGTGGCTTTTGTTTTTTTTTTTTTCGGTGAGGCAATTGGGGTTACGTAACTTGCCCAGAGTCACACAGCGAGTGAGTGTTATGTGACTGAGGCTGGGTTTGAACTCGGGTCCTCCTGACTCCGGGGCTGGTGCTCTATTCACTGCATTACCTAGCTGCCCTAATCTGTTAGTAGGATGGCAAGATGTGAGACAAAAAATTTCTAGTCCTTAACCCAGTTTTCTCTTAATGCAGATGTAGCATCCGATAGCTGACTAGGCCTTCAGGGAGGCAGGTTAATAGGCACAGTGTGTGCAGGGAGGGGCAGCAGGGGTAGTGTGTATGGGATTTGAACTATGCCTATCCCGTAAGGAATGAAGGCTGTCTTACTCTGACTCCAAGTTCAATGCCCATTACTGCCCCCATGGCCCCTTGCCTCCCTTATCCGCCACAGTTTTCCCCACCTTCCATGATGGAAGCAATAGTGAGACTATGTGCATGGAGGAATAGATGCTCATGGGATGAATGCCTAGTATCTGCCCGGGAGAGAGCTCCAACCAGTTCTGAGCTCTGCCTCTCTGGCCACCCCAGCCTCCGTTCTATCATTTTCTCTTTCCTACCTCATTTTGACTCTGGCAGGGCCTAAGAAATCTGGTATTGATTATGGGACTACAGGGCCAAAGCCAATTGTGCTGGGAGTCCCTGACTCAGAGCTGGGTCGGGGGAAGTAGCACATGGTGCAGAGGTCACCCATGGGGCCTTCGTAGAGGGGCTTCTGGGTGCGGCTGGAATCTAGGGACCCTTGGTTCTTATTATTTCTAAAGGAGAGAGGCCCAAGAAAACATGCTTATCAATTTTGGCCAGTTTGGGTATCATTTGAGAAGGGGGAAGGCTGAGGGGCAAAAAACAGGGATGGGGGACTTTGGGAAGAGGGGGCAGGGGCTGGGAGGAGATAGGGGAGAAAAAGCTGAACAGGAAAGACAAAGGAAGGATGTGACAGGGCTGGGGCTGTCTCTTTTCTGCTCTTGGTAATAGCTAATAGCCTGGTGCTGTAGTGGCTAAAGTCGTGGGCATGGAGTTAATGAAAACCTCTTCAAATCCTGCCTCATTTACTAGCTGTGTGACTGACCTTTGGAAAGTCAGCCTCTCTGGGCCTCTGAGCTTCCTTCTAGCTCCTCCTATGGCTTAGGTCAAGTTACCTGATAGTATTTGCCCTATGTTAGTGTTTGTCACTAATTAACTGGCTGTGTGGCCTTGGATAAGTCACTTTCCATCTTGAGGTTTCAGTTTCCTCATCTGTAAAATAAAGAAGGTCCAACACTAATATTTTATAAAGCTGGAATGTTTGTTTGTTGAATTGGATTCGCATTCTTTAGGGACATATTCTTAACACCTCTCCCTAGCATGCTACTCCAGACACCATTGGGAAATTCATGCATTCAATGTCTACTAAAGGGCCACACACAGTGCCAATTACTGGGGCTAGCTCTAGGCAGGAATATAAAGATACTCTGGCCTTCAAAAGATTCTATTTGTGATGGGACAACTACAGTCACAAGGAATCTGGGGCCAAGACCTTCAACTCGGGAGAGGCTGCAGGGAGGAAGGATGAGGACAAGAAGGGTGGGGGGCAGAGGACACACAAAAGGTGATGGAGGTAAGGTGACAAGGAGTGGAGTTGGAAGGCCCTTGGTATTTGGGATCTCAGCTCAGAGCTGTGATGAATCAAGAAAGAGAGCTAAGCAGAGCAGTAGGTGATGGTGAACAGATGCTGATGAGGAGAAAGCCAAGCTATACCCACCCCCGCCCCCTCCCCCCAATCTGCCCTCTCACCTTGATTCCACAGAGGGCAGCCCACCTTGTCACAGCAGGAACCCCCTCTTCCATGATCTCCCCACAAGCACTTCCTGCTCCTCCAAAAATTGGTAAGAGTTCTGCGTTCCACTGGCTGGGATGGGGGGAGTTCAAGCAGAGGGGTTGAGAGAGGGAAACTGGGGAGTGGAGGGGAAGGGGCTGAGCTGGCTCCAGGGGCGGATCTCCAAGCTGAAGACAGAGGCTGCCTTGTCTCACAGAAGGTTGTCCAGCCTGGTGGGTGGAGAGCAACACAGCTACACCCTCTCCATCTCTTCTCCCCCCCCCCCCCCCCCCCCCCCCCCGGCTCCCTCTCTAGCCTCCTGGAAATGGGATCTAGGGTAAGGGAGTCCCTCCCCCCCCTCACTGCACTGCCTCCCCACCCCCCCAGCCCTATGGGCCATAATGTTGCCAGGAGACAAAATTTATTTGGCAAATACACTTTCTAGGAGCAGATGTGCAACCCTAGCAGCGCCCTGGGAAACCAGATGCTGTTGGCTGATGGAACTAACACAACGCCCCCGACTTCATGCTCTGGGGACCATTGTGGCCTGAGCACTTTTTTTTTTTCTGAAGGGAAGGTGACCATCCAAGTGGGAAAGAAAAGTAGGCCAACCAGCCCAAAGACATAACACCTTTATTAAGATTGCTCTAGCCCTACAACAGCCATTCTGAAAAGAACCAAGTTTGGAGCTCCACAAGGCCTTAGCAAATCTAACCCTTTCATTTTAAGGATGCGTGGAGACCCACAGAGATTATGACTTCCCCAGCCACACAAGCAGTTGTAGTTATCTGGGACTGGGACCAGGACCGGGACCAGGACCAGGGATACGGGTTCCAAACCAACCCATTCTTCATTTCTACCTGTTAATCAACCCAATCCCCAAAGACCAGGCCAACATAGTTAAGGCCATTTAGAAGCAGCCAGAGGTGGAATAAAGAACAGTACTAGAGCAGGTGGGGAGGTATTCTTCTCCTTACTCACTACCTCAGGCCAGACCTAGCCAGGGAGGTGGATCCCCCTTCTCATTCTCCCCTAGCTGGCTGCACCACTGCCCCTCTTGGGAGGGAGGGGACCACAAATGTTGGCAAGCCAGGTGCGAGGAGGCCAAGAAACTCTTCAGCCAAACGAAGTCAATGGCTCCAGGCCCCCGTGGCTCTGATACTGATGCTTGAGGTTTCCCAGGTTCCTTCCCTCCCTAGAAATACTTATTTCTAACCCATTCTTTCCCACTTCTACCATAACAGACCTCCTGTTAGGAAAAGTCCCACTAGGTCTGATGGAAGGGTCACGGCTCCTCTGACTTTATCAAAAATGACTCTGGCAGCTGGGGCACTGCATCTTTTAGCTTTTTACACCCCGACCCACAGAGAGTCAGCCTCTGGTTTCTGTTGCAATGGAGAGGGGAGAAGATATCCTTTTTTCAAAGATAAAGATAAAAATGAAAATATGGAGAAAAAGAATTCATGACTATACTGACCCTGCACCACATATGCTCAAGAACTCCTGGCCATTTATGACCAAAGGAAATAGCACAAATGAAATAAGGTGGAACAACCTTGCAAGACATTCAAGGGCAACACCATGGGAAATGGGCAGAGACCATTTTAAATGCTCTTAATCCCTAGTTGTCAATTAGCATCAAATGAGATGCTGCCTACAGTGGTGCTTTCCAAAAAACAGCATCCATTTGTAAATTATATAAATATGATGAACTTTCAATAACTGGGGATGGGAAGTGTCCATGTACCAAAAATTTATAAGCACTAAGTGTGCAAATAAAAGAATTTCAGCATTAAAAAGGAACTTTTAAAGATTAGGTTTATTTGGAGAAAACAAAACAAAAAACCCGGAAAAAAAAAACACCACCAAATCCCACAGCCCAAAGGATGGGGATTTTACATCATAAGACATCTCCCAGGTAGTAAGTCTACAGATTACAAATCATTTTCATAGAAGATATCTTTGTACAAATTTTACATGTCTTCAGGTGCTGGACGCAAATCAATCCTTGTACCTGGTCTAACAGAGGGAGCAAGAAGGGAAGTGGAGAGAACAGCTTCTTGGATACAACTATTTGGAAGGAGAGTAGAAATGAAGAGGGCAAACCCTACCTTATCAACACCTATGGCAAACAGGTTGTAACTGCTTAAGTCTGGATATGCCTTCTAAATGTCCACTTCCTAGCTAATGGCCCATCCATGCCAATTACTTGTATTTAGTAATTTATTCAATTTGTCTACCTTTTATTTCCACCTCATAAAATGATTCAATATACTCACTGCTGCAGCCACACAAATACCATCTCACCAACTTGGCTAAGCTGGGAATAATCTAAGACTGCCTGGAGAAGAACTGTGCAAGTGTTAGAGACTGGGATGGCATCCTCCTCTCCTAGGTGTTCATATCTGGTGAAGGGGGAAGAAAGTATCTACACTAAGCGGACCCTCACAACGTTGCACATAAAATCAAATACAGTGGTCTTTTGTGTTGCAACAGAAACCAATGCCCTGTTGAGTAGTTCTCTCACAATCATCATTTATTCTCTCAGGGGAAGATAAAAACCCACACACTGATCTAGGCCACATAATAAATCTGAATATTAGTGTGGGATTCCAGTGGAGAGAAGGACAACTCCTAAAAACATCAACCATCAAAATGAATGGAGAAAATGGCTGGGGAAAGGCTACCAATTTAATAGCCTCTATCAATCCATTCCTTATTCACTTCCTAAGATCACCTCTTCCATTTTGCTGGTGCTCACAAGGGATCAAGGAAGCTGGTGCTGGCACAGACCAGGGTGAGGAACAAGGAGTAGCAAGAGGGGTGAAAAGGGAGCAATGGGAAGCTCTTCTGCTTTAGAATAGCAATTTAATTCCTCACCTGACAACTCCCTGGTTTCTAAGGCCCAAGAAATGACCTGTTACATGACATAAACACAAGATGTTAGTTGGGGAGACTGCAGAAAAGGAGAGTGGGTAGTAAGGGAAGTATATAAGACTTTAACTGTACTTAAGGCCCGAAATTCTTAAGATTGAGGATTGCAATAGATTATGGAAGAATCTACAAGTTCCCACATCTATGTTCCAAGAAATAATTGCTTATGTTTTCTGGAGATTCTGACCTTTCACTCTATCTAGTCCAAAAGGATTCACGTCACCCCCAGACCCATATTACCCCTCCCACTGCATCTGATCACCAAGTAATATATCTATTCCTCTTGGCATCAACTCCCAACCACCCCCTTGGGGGGTAAAACCGGACAACATTTCCCTCCATTACTGGCCCCCAGCAGCTTGGGATTAAATAAGAGGAGGGGCTGGCAGCCTCCTGGAGACTAAAATAACCTCAGAGACTAGTTAGCCTACCTTCAAGGATGGAAGTTTTATTTGGATAATGTTTCAGAATTCATATATGCCATAATAAGATAGCAAGAATTAAGAGGGAGAAAACCCACCTCCTTCCTTCTATCTGTCCTATCGCCCAACCAGCTTTCAGAAACCAACTCATTAATATTATTAACGTTTCTGCTAAAAGGAGGACCCTAGGTATTAATCATACAGGCAATTTTGGGGTGCTGCTAAAACACATCAGAACTTTTCTTTTAAAAAGCTGTATGTCTCTCTCTCTCTCTCTGGCTACACTGGTTGGAAATTCTCCAGTTAGTTTAATACTTTAAAGGCTGCAGCAGCATGCAAAAGAATTTCATTGTTTTCCTTTTTGTCCTTAAAAAAAAAAGTTAAGAAAGGTCTCCAGGAGATGGTGAGTTTTATTTTGTCGTGTCTGGATAGAGGTTTGATTTGCTCTCGAATGTTGCAGTTTGGTGAGAGACGGGGAGAAAGCACAAGATGTGGAGGTTTATTCGTTGTAGTCTTCGCCCTCATTTTCATCTTCACCATCAACAGAGAGAGCTGCGTACTTGCTTGCAGAACTAAATTTCTGTAAGAATCAGAGCAATGGTGTGGGTAAGACACATGATACTTTCTTATGTAGGGATTATGAGCTTTCTGAGTCACATCTCACTATCACTGGGCTCATCTTCTTGACAAACAAAATTGGAGAAATTTTCTGCCTTTGTATTTTGAAAGGTATTTGTACTCTAGAGTAAATGGGCCTATCTTTCTTTTTCCTTTTAGGACATTTGCCCGTTTGTATATATTTTTTTAAGCTCTTCTCCCTTCTCTCAGAAGGTGGGAAAAGGGGTATCTTTTTACACTGCAGATACAGATTAAGCACTTTTGTCAGTGCTTCCTCATTCTACCCCCATAAGGGTCATAAAGACCTTGCCAATTCCAACAAATTTTAAAAAGTAATTAAAAAAAAATCACTCCATTTACATGTTTTGGGTAAGCTGGCACAATTCAAAGCAAAGTTATAAGGTCCCAGAGAAGTAGAATTTCAGAAAAAATGACAGCAAACAAAAACTAAAGATTAACACGTTAACACTTACAGAGGCCGGATTTTCTTCAGGTTTCTTTGGCTCAGATGCAGGTCTTGAGTCTTGATCTCTTCTGCCATCCTTTCTGCAAAGGGAGATGACGGAAGAAAAAAAATATATGCCTCCTTCAGATACCTATTACCTGCACATTTGGAGATTTCTAATTTCTTAAGTCTGACGCCACTTAGTACAGATGCTATCAAGTTCAGTAAAAATGTACCTAAGGGGTTTTTACCTCCGGTGGACACTTAACTCTGGCAGATAATCTGAGACAACAAATAAGAGGCCACACCTGCACAGACATGTAACATGGAACAGTGGAGAACACAAAAGATCTGAGTGCAGAATCTCTCCTGTTGGGCAAGTTATTTTATCTTCCTTGTACCTCAATTTTCTCATCTATAAGATCAGAACTGGACTAGATGATCTTATTAACAGTTTTAAATGGTCTTTTTAAGGTTTGTTTTGGGGATTACGACTTCTCTGCTATGATGCCATTTACGTCTTCTGTGTGAAAACACACCCCACACCCCACACTCCTGATAGAAAGGAAGCATCTTCCCTCCAGCTATACACCTGGGGGTCAGGGAACATAACCGCACCTATCAGACTCCTTCCAATGGTCTTTACTCCCTCCATCCACTGGGCCACGGCTGGAGTTCCCACTTTGGCCTTTCAGCACACTCATCCCATCTACCTTATTCTCATCTGCTGGAATAGAAAAATACAAAATTATTGAAGAAAAGCAGGCTTGGGTGAAGGGGAAAAAGTGGCAACCATGGTTTAGAATG